ACCACTGTTGAACAACACAATGTTGTATGGTCCTCCAACAAATGCGGGGTACACGCCAAGCACCGACTCCCGATTCGCTCTAGCTGTTTTCTCTGGCCTGAGTCCCACCACTGCAGTTCGAGCGGATATTTGCACACATGGCGGTCATGTCATGATAACGCAGGCTTAGTGCTGATTATGTAATTGTAGACATAGAGAATAAATATATAAAATGCAACTGTGTATTGGAGCAAAAGAATTTCCCAGATGCGAGTGATGCACAACAATGATGGATTAAGCATGCACATGCAATCGTTATGGCAGAGTGTGTAACACTTGTGGACCTGATTCATGGGAGCACAGCCATCAATACTTCAGAGTGTTCAGGGTGGCGTTCTTTCTCTTCCACAGGGTATTGTTGGGGCCAGCTTAAAGCACAAATCATACTAATAAGCACCGAATGCGCAAATGTGAAGGCGAAAAGGGCGACCAGTTGGAGTAACATAATCATCGCCCTTCCTCTGGCGACACCATTACAGTCTGGGAGCATTCCATGTCTCCATGTCTCACACACCTAGAGAGGAGTGAAGAGTGCATGCAGTGCCAACCCGATCCCATCATCATGAGTATGATCTCCCGGTCCTTGCTCAAGTCCTCCCAAGAGGACTCATCAAATTCTAACGGTGCCGTGACGTTCGATGGTGGATAGAACGGTTCCTCGGTCCAACGGTTCCAGCAGAGATTGGCTTCATGCATCGCTTCATGCATCGCTTCACCAAGGTGCGTAGCCCGTCAGCAGAGTGAAAATCATGACACCCAAAGCAAAGATGTCAACCCCGAAGCCATAGGCCTGGTGGGGGGATTATTGAAACCTTTGCAGCAATTGAAGCTGAAATCAAGCCAGAGAAAGACACACATCTTAACAGACCACCCAACACATCTTTCGGTGCTGAGAGTGTTCAAAAGCTTGAGGCGCACCTCTTCAGCCAGAATCTCGGGTGCAATGTACCCATGGGAGCCTTGTATACCTCGATCGGCCAAACATCAAACTACACAACCATCGGTTTGAGGGCCTGGCCTTCAAACTGGCATAGAAACGGAGCCTGACTCAAATGCAAATTGGGGAACGGGTCTCAAATTTTGGCCATGGTGAGCCCGGGAATCTCATGAGAATCTCCTTGTGAGGACATTCTCGAGCAAGGCCAAAGTCTCCCAGTTGCGCCACCAACCTAGGTTGACGTGCCAAAGATGCAAAATGATGTTTAAACATAGAAAACAAGAGTCCAACTATGAGACACAGACCAACTTGGCTACCACACGCATGCCCAGCAGGGACGAGAAAAATATTGCGGGGCTTGACATCACCATGAAGAATGAATTCTTCCTGCATGAAGAGCATTTGAATGTTTGAAACAAAAAGCTTAAAGTCGCGCGAGCAATATTATATATTCAAATCCAAATCAACGCTTCACTTCTTGATAATCGTCTTCCGAATCTTTCAAAAAAATGACTGAAAGCTTAGCTGAGCCTCGTGGAGATATCGCAGACCTGAAAACGATCTTTGTCTTCAGGTGTGCATAGTTTCATACCATATCTACAGTACATTAATATACAAATGTGGTATATCATATATGAATAATGACAGTTGAGACTACATGTTTGACTCCTCGCTGATGGCTTTGATTGGAAAATTCCAGTACGGCTATGCTCAAAGCCAGACAGCAACTGCTCGCAGAGATGCGAAGCCTTGCTGATTCACCAACCGATTGAGGTGTAATATCCTGTAACTGCGACTACATGATAAGGCTCTAGGAGCAAGAAGCTACTAGGGGCTCCTGGCATCGCTACTAGGAGCAAGGACGCTACTAGGGGCTCCTGGCCTTACTACTAGGAGCAAGGACGCTACTAGTAACAAGGCTCCGGCTTGCACCTCCGAAATCATTCGTTGCGAGCCAAGGGCCTGAAGGCCAGGCATGGTCGTCGGCGCGGAAACACAACCCCGTGTTCCAAGCAGCAAACGGCGTGCAGGTCACCACCAGACGCAAAAGGTTCAAGCAAGAGCACCTAAAGAATGTCACTGGAACAACTTGTGGAACACCTCTTTAATTCATGGACAATCTGCGAGTGCTTCACTTGTCTAAAAGCAATCTAGCATGGCTCTGAACCTCTGTTGGTGTTTCAGCTGCATAGAGCAGCGGCCTCAGCTGAGAAGCACTCAGAAGCTTTCCATGATTCTATTGGAAACAACAAATTGCATTTGACTGGTGGAGTGTCTCCTCGCAGCAACATATCAGCTTGAAAATGTCCAAGGCACACTATGTGGTCGTGCGTCAGTCGCCGCTGGATCTGGATTTCCTGCAGCAGATTGTCCTTCTGCTTTCAAAAGGCTTTTAAGAATGCAATACTCTGTGTCCAGTCTGGTTCCTAGTAGTGATGCCCTTGTTACTAGTAGCGTCCTTGCTCCTAATAGTAAGGCCAGGAGCCACTAGTAGCGTCCTTGCTCCTTCTGTCGGGTCGGAGAGCAAGGCCTGTCTGAGCGTTTCAACCTCCAGGTCGTCACCATCAAGTCTGGCTGCCTGCGATGGGCGAATCAAATATTGCTTGTGCTAGGCCAGACGGCAAAGCGTTTCAACAGCGATGCACGGCTCCTTTTGGGGTCGTGCGAAAACTGGTTGGGTTTGTGTACACTGTACAAGCTAGCAATAACTTCAAATAGCCATACCTTCGAGTATAGGCACATCACAAACATCAGCCATGTACAAGAGGTAGTTGTGCAATTTCTCGGGCCACTTGAGCCCCTTCACGATCGTGAGCCTTCTCAAGGTGGGCCACAAAGTTATATCGTCATAGGATAAGCCGCCCTCGTTCACTGACATCTCACTATGAATCATTTCTGAGAGCTTTGGGAGCTGAACTTCGCTAAGTTCCTTCAGAAGCTCATCCGAAGATTTCAGCGCATCTTCAAAAGATGAATCTGAAAGGGGATGATTCTGCACCCATGTAGCCCGGGCCGCACGTGTCGCGAATTCGGGGTACAAGGCTAAGGCGTCTCTGGGCCTGGTGATTTTTCTCATGAGGTCTTTGTTCTCCCTCAACCATCCTTCAATGTCAGTTCGACCCGCAGCTGCTCTCAAGATGGGCCTTCGCACCGCATCAATTTTGGCAACAATATCTAAGCTCTCTCCCATGGCTTCTCCATCCATTTCAAGGATTGGCAGAACCTTCTTGCCGGTCATCTTGGTTGGGGTGACCACATCATCATTCATGAGGAAGTCAAGTTTGAAAGGAATTCTCTTGAGGCCAAAAATCATCCTGGCACGGACACAAAATGGACAATGGTCATAGACATACAGGGTTGGCACTGACCTTGCCAGCTCCTCCTCCGTTGCAGCACGGCCCCATTCACTCGCTCTCCGCGCGACCAGGGGCACCCAGCCTTTGGACGCACCGAGAGATGTGGCAAAGCCCAGCCAGGCAAGGCCCAACAAGGTTCCTCGGGCTCGTCCCCATGAGCGGATAGGACGGATGGGATGCATCGGACAGGATGGATAGCGCATGTTTGCAACTAAAGCAGCCTGTGGAGCCAGCAAAGGTTGCGAATTCCGAAACACTTTCCAATGAAGTGCAAAAAGTCTTCTTCCAGACTTTTGAAATCAACGATTGTGCTGGTTGAAGCCATGTGCGAATGCTACTCATACGCACCCCAAAGAATCTTCAGTACAAGTACCATGGTGACAGCAACGTAATTTCTTCTCATGCAAGAGAAATGCCTACGTATCCCAAGTCATGAGGACGCACAGCCATGGTTCAGGGCTGTTCTCGGCTTCACTTCGCTCTTTGAGGATTTTTCAGGCTGAACCCTCCAGTCGTGCAATGAACATTTCAGGCCTTCACCACAACCTTTCGATTCTGGTCAACGGTGCCAACATAGATCAAGTTGCAGGCATCTGCCTGGGCGGTGACAGGAGAAGAAGCTACGCACCCACGCACCATGAGTCCAAGCCCCTCACACTACCATACCGTCCATCGTAAAGAACCCGCAAAACTCCCTGGAGCTTTGCACAAGAGTCACCAGCAAATGCCAGCACTGAATATGCTACATCCCCACCTTGAGCTTCACGTAGCTGTTGTTCCCACTCACTGAAAAAGCTGGTGCACTTTCACAAAAGGGACACACCTGCCACTCGCCAGCACTTCCAGACATCATCCAACTCTCTCATCGCAGCGCACCCGGTCAGCAAGAGATATTGGTGTGCAGCAAGTTCTGCACAAAACCTGCGCTCACTGAAGCAAAGTACAGTCTCTTATGAGCAAGCAAAGCTCACAACTTTTAATAGGCACGCCTCTATACTATATGTACAGTACAAGTATGTATGCTACAGACGGAATAAGCACACCAACTCGAAAAGGATAAAGAACATGCAAAACTTGTTGACCCATCTTGACACCCCGCCTCTGCACTCTCTACTTTCCAATTTGATGACTTTTCGGGACAAGGGCCCTCTGGTGAAGCCTGCCATCCAGCAGCATAAGGTGTCGACGATCTCAAGACAAACAAATAAACAACTGCTCGACCCCAATCCGTGAATCTTAGGTTTAATAAAATGTTCTTGCACTTTCGCAGCATATGTGCCTTGCTGAGTTTCCGGCCTTCAAGCTATCAGCAGCAGGGTGGACCATGGCAGTCATAGCTAGCAGCTAGTGTATCAGCTCTTCAGGACTGACTGTGCTGGAACGAACTCATTGATCAATGGATCTTCGACTTGGAGTTTTCAGATCTCACATGGAGTTGGTTTCCGGGAGCTCAGAGTACAAAAGGGACTCTGAAAATGTCATCATTTGGACCATTGTGCATACAAACAGCTGCGTCCAAGAAGATTCTATCTTCAAGCTGGACTCAGAATGTTCAAGGTGGACTCGGAATGCATTAGCGCAATGTACGAACGTCGATACATTGGTATTGAAACCCACACCGTAAAGCACCCTGGGACAATGCGGAACAATGCTCATGGGACTCCTGCCTGATTTCGAACCTCAGGGAGAGCCTTGCAGAGATTTGCTTGCCAAACCCACGACCGACAACTTTGGCATGAAGAGAAAGACCAAGAAAGAGTTGTTGACAACTTTGGCAGTGCAGTATTTAAGTTTTGTGAGGTGATGTCAGCATCAACTAGTAACTAGCCGAGCCTGGTGCGTGTGGCTGGGCGAAGATTTGCAAAGCCATTGGACCACCTCGGGCACACTTGCATGAGCGAGAGACGGACTGAAGGTCCTTGAACCTTCACAAAGCAATAAGCCAAGCAAAGCCCAAAAAACAAAGCATGCACATTGTTGCGAACATCATCGAAGCGCAGTAGGCGGGCGCACGCTACCGAGTCGGGGAACCCCAACAGCCTCGGCCCAGGCCAGTGAAGTGTTCAAAGCGCGGGAACACCACAGCACTCAGACTCAGCACGTCTCAAGTGCCTCCCCGTCTTCACCGAGTCGGCTCAGCGCTCTTCGTAGTCCCGCTACAGTCTCTTCCTTCAAAGAATCTTCATGTCTTGGAAACAAGGACCAGGAATCGATTTATTTACACAAATATATATATATATATATGCATCGATACATTGATGTGCACACATGTTATAGATAAGCTTCTCAAGCCGGTACCCACAATCTCGCAAGTGCATGTTTGCACCACCATGTACATATTGCGTGTGGAGCTCTTTGGTGTCCCTGCTTCTCCGGGTTCCTAAAGGGCACTCCTTTGCTGCATCCCCGGGACATCTTGAAAGGCGTCTCTACGGCCAGGACTAGGGCAAGTACCTGATCACCTTTGCTCATCTTGTGGCTCCCGTCCCATCAAGCTACCAGGTCTGCCATTCGGAGCGGCTGTCTTTGACGCTCCCCACAGACCAGAAGATTAATCCGGCGCAGACCTCCAGGACTCTCTGTTCGAAGACCTCTAGGTCCTTGTATGATTCAATTTCCTCTTCAGCAGCCTGCACTTGGAGGTTAGAGAATGAGTAGAGGCATCATTCATCCTCACGGGGCAAATGGGGCAATTCCAACAAATAGGCTGATAGCCGACGGGCCCACCAAAGATCGTCAGGAACCAACGGACCTTCTCCCAACATGCATCCGACAAGGTGCATACCAGACTTCTACTAAAGACACAGTTCTAGTCACAAAAATCCAGGTTTGGACCAGCGAGGCAGAGTCGAAAGGTCAGCAGGAACAGGCTTCAGTCGGGGAGTGAATCCAGCGTGAGTTCTGTGAGTGCATACATTCAAAGGGATAGGTGTCAAGGGAGCAATGCATTGTTCGCTTTCGCTCGTGAGTGATCAGAGAAGCCGCCCTTTCTGAGTTTGTTTCGCTTGAAGCTTGCACATTGATAAGGGCTATTTTGTGGAGCATATTCTTCCATGTTCAAGCCCGCTGGCACATCTTGCCAGTTAATTGCGCTTGTTCATATTCCGTATATCCTTAAATGACCCCAAGAGAGCAAGATCAATGAACCAGCTCCTGACGAAAGAGCCCCTCCAGTGTAGCTCTTGTCTTTTGACGGATCTCCTGAATCCTTCTCTGGAGAACAGTGATGAGTCGGAAGAACCGCATGGGGCAATGACAGAGGCTTCAAAAAGCGCCCAGAAGAGGCACCGCCAATCCATCAGAATTATTCCCGTCAACCGTCCAAAGAGCATGATGTGCTTTCCAACTTCGGCATATGGCAGTCGTGGCAAGCGGATTATACCTATGAACAGTTGCGAATCAACAGCTGGATATGCTGCTCACATGCCTCCGCCCATGCCAAGCTCTTCAGTCCCAAACAATCACAAATGCCAGACCTGATCAAGTCCCACATGAATGAGTCGGGCCAAACAAATGTTGCTTTGGAGCAAAACAAAGGACGGAACATGTCCTAGTGACAGCTTGCCAACGCCAAAGACGAGCGGTCCAAGACTTACATCAGATGGTGTACATCTCGCAGTCGCACAGCGATTGGTTTCCTTCGCGGCTTAACCAACTATTTGGTTCAATTTCAATTTGAAGGCGACATGCAAGCACGAATTCCACCGAACCACAAAGTAGAGAAAATGGAAAAGTCGATGTCAAAAGCTGTCCATGAGCACCTCCAACATGACCAGGGAAGTCGAGTGAAATGGGCCGCCAGCAAGCCATTCAGTGTATGACATATAATTATGTGTATACTGTATATATATATACTGTATATATGTATGCATACAAAAAGTACATGTTTCTGTCCTTATCTGTCTATCTTCTCGGAAAGACGTGCTTGCAAATGTCAGCTCCTCGGACGGCATGAAGCGCGTCCAATCCCCACGCCCGAACAAGTAGTCCATCATCACGGTCTCCCTTGCACAGCTCAAGAGCTCCTCAGGAAGGTCGCAGAAGAGCGAGGCCCCGTGCCCTGTTTGGTCATCGATTGTTTCACTTAGGGCCGATGTGGGGCTGAACTGGGTGTTTCTTGTTCGAATCCATACCCCTATAACTTTCGGTGAAGGTGAAGGATATGCCAGCGGCTGGAATAAACCTAATTGAGGGGGATCTAGGTTTGAACATGATGTGCGTCACCTGATGTCCTATCACTAAAATTGGATAGGCGAGGTGATTGGCATTTGCATGTCCGGCCAACCAAACGATTCGCGACACTTCAATACACAACTTGCTGACCTCTGCGGGAGCAATCTCAATCTGGGGAGCGGCCTCAGTTACACTCTTCAGCAAGTGGGCGCTGGCAAACAACACAGAAAGCCAAGTTTGAGACGGAATGTGATTCATCGTCCTTCACCTTGCTTGAACAATGCTCAATCGCACCAGAACACAACATTGATGGGAACGACTTGCAGGTTGTGCTTTTGTAGGCACCCGTACAGACTGTGCTTCACTCATGCTTTTGTCTTTGCTGGCCATGTGCGCTGCTATACTTCCCCTGACGATTCAATCTTTAGCAAAAACGTCATCGAGGTCTTAAACACCCACTGACAAAAGGTGCACGATCTCAGGGCCTCTTCCTTTCTGGTGGAGCAGCAACAACGGGTTTCTCCCTGATTGTTTCACATTGTTTGAGTTCGCCACTCATTTCATGAACTCAAACGCATGTCTTAGGCCGCATCTCATCAGAAGAGACTTCCTCCATCCACCGCAACATCCCCACATCTCTGAAAACAACATCTGTGGGCCGGTTTACAAGCACCCCACTGGTTCCCGTAATTATTCAAGTCCTCGGGCGCATCCTCGAACTTGGTTGTGATCTGGTGCCTCAGATGACTAAAGGGAAGAACAATGACACCTGAGAAGTGAAGGGATGCAGCGAAAGCCAGCCCTCATAGATGCTTAGGGCAACGCACTTCACTCAAGAAACTTCAACAAGCAATGTGAGAATCTCCAACACTCCCACACAAGCCCCTGAGAATACCCACTTCGTTCGCGAGATTGGTTTTTAAAAACTCCAAGATGCAACTGCCGTCCTCTGCTTTGCCCAATGTCCTAAAGCTAGAACCTGCTTTTCGGAGGTGCCCTCTTTTTTGCCCCGAGGGCCTCCAAAAAAAGCACCAAAGGGCACCAACAAAACCTTGAGCGTTTTTGGTATTTTTTTTTGCCGCGGGATGGCCTTCGGCACCAACCCAGATTGAGGGTTATTCTTCGGCTCTCTGCACCAAGATCTGGAAAACACACTGCCTTTCCACACCTGCGTCGACAATTCATCAATTCGATTAAAACGCTCGAAGATGCATCTGCCATGTCCTGCGTTGTCAAGGGTCTCATCGCCAGAACCCGCTTTTTGGAGGTGCTCTTTTCTGTCCCGAGACAGCCTTCAAACAAGGCGCCAAAAGGCACCAACAAAAACCAATCCTTAAGGTCTTTTCTGGGGCCACTTTGCACTAGAACCCAGTTTTTCATTTGTGCCCGTTTTTGCCCTGATATGGCCATCTAACATCAACAAGAAACCCCAACCCCCTGCATCTGTCCTTCCACACCTGCATCTCAAGCTGCAGCCAAACCTCTTTGTTTTACGAGTTTGTCCCCAAATCTGCCAAAACTCATCTCAAGCAGGGGCTCGCAGGATTCGATCAAAATGCTCGAAGATGCATCTGCCATGTCAAGACCATCCCGAGAGCCCGCTTTTGAGAGGCGTCCTTTCTTGCTCCAAAACGGCCTTCAAACAAGGTGCAAAAGGGCACCAACAAAACATGTCTTTTCTAGGGGCACTTTGTGCTAGAACCCGTCTTTCCCTCGAGGTCGCCTTCAAAAACGCCGCGAAAGGGTACCAGCCCAGAAGAGCAGCTTCCTGCATGGCCGTGCCCCTTCCTGCGTCGACAAACCATTGTCAGAAACATGGAACCTTTGTGCCGGCACCCACTTACTCATAGGTGTCCTTTTTTGCCTGGAGACGGCCCTCAAACGCAACGCGAAAGGGCACCAGCCCAGAATGTGGCTGAAGGACTGTTCTTCGACTCTCTGCATCTAGATCTCTGTCTTTCCTTTCACACATGGCTTGACTCAAATACTGTAAACCAAAAATTGTGTTCATACTCGAATCAACAGGTTTGCCAAAGCACTCCAAAAGATGTGGTCATGCCCAGTTGATGATGCAAAAATGATATACTATAATGATGACCTATTGATGATGCAAACAATGCTAAACCAACCGCTTCTGCATCACTCGCATCACAAGGGCCCTCAAAATGCGACTTTACTGCTCGCCAAGCAGGCTCTGGGTTCCTGCCCCGCTGGCTTTCTTAATAAAGCTCAAAATGCTGCAGATTCACAAATCCATTGCGTGCGTGTAAAGGAAAAAAAAAGGACATGTGACAGCTGAGCGCAAGACTTTTGTTTGATTGCTCTTTCCTCTCGAGCCTTCTCGACAAACTTTTGCCAAGCCTGAATCGACATCCAAAAGCTGAAGCACTGCGAGGCCGACTAGATGGTATCGGCCCATCCAGTGGGTCGGGTCTGCAAACTACAAAAGTTCGGGGTTGACTGGGTTGGGTGATATATCATCACAATGTCATGCTGCAACTGACCGTTGATTCCAAAATTGAAAGGGCTAGGATTGGTTTGGCCGATTGCTGCCTTTTGTTTTGACTCACAAAACCGCTGCAAACTCATTGCTCTGGTTGCATTCTTCTCTCACGGGCTCTATGCATTGCGCTTGTGGGTGTTGATTTTGCCGAACGTACAGCAAACTGCAGTTTAGCACTTGTGGCATAATGAAACAATGTTGCCACACACCATGCACGCCTTTGAGCTATTCAGTCACGCCTCTTCTGACTCTGCTTCAAATTTATCTTTGTATGCCACACTTTTGGCGACTCTTTCCTCCCACTGCGCCTCATGAGCTGATTCTACATGTTAGACTGCACAACTGCATCCCAACAAGCTTATGAACATCTTGTTAAACATGCTGTGGCAAACGGAAACACACTAATCCAATTCCTGACTGCTTCTGCTTTTGCCACGTGCTCACTCACCTGCTTTCGACGCTTCTTCTCCTCGGCCTCCGCTTCTTCGCGTTGCCGCCTGGCCAATTTGGTGCGTAAATCCTGGTTAGAAAAAAAGATCGGTCCTCCCTTCTAGCACCATATAGCCTAGAGGTTGCTTAAATTGAATTCAAATCTCATACCTTGGTTCCTCTGCTTTTTCATCAACTTCAGACGGATGCCAGGAGAAGCCAAAAGAAGCCTCTACTGCACAATCTTCAGGCCCCCCAAAGCAATCTGAAATTCATAACTATCATACATGGAAGAAAGAGCGCAAAAGGCAGTTTGGGCCTCTTCAATTAGGCCCCCTTAAAGAGCCTTATTAAAGCCGCCAAACACCTTTTTGTTACCTTCTTTTGGTTACCCTCTTTCTTCCATGTATGGTATATAATATATACATCCACACGAAGTCTTCCACAGTGTACTTCTCTTCTTCATTGTACTGGAATTACATCCAGGCTTCATTCCCCAAAATGATGCGAACATTGAAACATTGGCCATAACACCTTCAATGATTTCTTGTCCCTGGGTTGTTTGCACCTTCTTTCTCTTCATTATTGTAGTGGAATTATGTATATATATATATATAATCAAGATTTAGTTCGTCCAACCGATATCACAGTGGCCAATGCCCTCTTGTACGTTCGCCTTTTTCAATGCTCGCAGCACCTTTGCTGGTATTTCAATACGTTCTCCAGCGATTGATGGATTGCGACAAATTGGTATCCTTGACAACAGCAAGACATGCATCTGTATTGTACATACGTATCCAATGTGCGTACATGGTTATACGTGTGTACCTGTCGAGAACGACATCAAGAATATCATCTAATTCTTTCTTACTGTATTTGAATCAGCGTGAGTGGTATCCATTCATAGACAGCTCACCATGGCTTCTTCGAAACCAAAGATTGGGAAAACACGTGTGTCTTGCTTAGATGCAGGAGCAACTTCTGGCACCGAACCTGTATGTTGCTTGGGCCTGGGAAACAAGATTCATGATCACCTGTATAAATGGAATTAAGGAACGTCCTCAGTCGAACTCTGTAGCCAAACGGCACATTCAAAACTGGTCTGGAAGCCAGATCAAAACAAAATGTTGGGAAGTGACAAGCCCTAAGATCAGAATCTTAGTAGTAACATAGTCCATAATTGAATTCGGGTAAGTCTTACAAATACTATGCATATACGCCTCAAGTATGGAAAATCCTCCATAGTAACTTCAACAGCAGGTTCTGACACACCACCACCCACCACACCTCGCAGCTTCCAGCATCTGCTGAGCTTGCAACTCCTCTTCCCTAGCAAGACTGCTCACATAAACAACGAACCGGATTGAAAACTGAACATATAGGCGGTGTGCTTTGTTGAATATGAATCATTGCTGCAGGTGGCACGAAACCAGAGTATTTTGCATGTTCTTGTTGTGTGCGCTTCACATTGAGGTTCCAATAAGATGTGTAAGAATTGTGACATGGACAAAAACAGTTCTATGCTGCATGTTCATTTTCTTGTTTTGAGGACAAAACGGGCGCCGCGCTTTGGGACGGACAAAACGTGCTTTTGCTGCGTCTTCATGCTTAACATGAGTACCGCTTTTTCTCTTACACCTTCGCCTGGTATTCTTCTATTACACAGACAGCTTTCCCAAAGCGCATGGTGGATACAGTTTCCCCGAAGCGCATGGCCATCCATAGAAATATATTTTGTGGATGTTTCCCGACCGTCGCGAAGGATGCTCCTAAAGAACATGTCCTAAACTACACTAGCTAGTGCCTGGCATCTCACAGCATGATCTGCACACAAGTTTGAGAGTTGCTACATCTACTTCAGGGTCACTTGCAGCCTCTGCGTGCCAATATCTTAGAGGAGGTTCATCCCCCTTCCCCACCTGCGGATTGTAGAAATGCGCAATAGAAAGCAACTTGATGATATACTTGATGATATAGGTGCAAAGACAGGGTTGTTGATGATACGATATGATAAATGATACGACCACATGTTCGATTTTCAATCCGCAGGCATAAACAACTAGAATCTAATCGAGAAAATAGGCTCAAGGCCTGTTGGAGAATTATACGAAGTGAATACCCGTTGATGTCGTAGGTGCATGTAAGACCATGTAAACACCTTGCCGTCAATGAGCCAAAAGAAACAAAAACCAACCATCCTGGCCTTTTCTTTGCTTCTACAGCTGCCTAAGATTGCGAGGAGATGAGCAAATTGACAAGCTGTTCACTTCGACGCTTGTTATATACTGAAAAAAAGACACTCAAAGCATTGCTGGGGGATGCACACGACGGCTCAAGCGACGAACTGACTGGGACTCCAACGGCTGTGGCCTGCTGCTCAACCTGCACTCGACGCTGGCGTCTCGCACGTTCCTGGAGGGCATGTGAAAAGTCAGGGCTTGCTGCAAGCGGCTTGCTCAACACTTCGCCTTGCGCGCGATGTCCGTCTCGCGTTTGGTCTCCCGGATCTTGGCCATACCTCACAAGACAGAGCATACAGGCATATTGTGCGGGTGCATTGATCGCATCTGTCTTAGCTTGGCACGTTTGTCGGACTCAATCTGCAAAGCTGCCTAGAGAAGGTGCTCACACTTAAAAGTTTTCAAGAACAAGAGCTAGAATGCAATCGAGCACAGTATTTGTGCAAATGCCATCTGTGCACTGTGCAAATGATGCAAGTGTCAAAACATCTGCGCCGCAGTGCATGGCTGTTTGGTACGCCGCACGCATTACGCTGCTGTTTTTTGATGTTTCTCAGAAAGTCAAAGATCATCTAGGAACTGTTCACAATCCAGCCGCACTAGGTGGCCATGGTCAGGAAGCCATGATCGCGAGGTGGCAAACACGCGGTTGTCATTGCCCCAGTTTTGGCTGTCAAAACACGGCTTAGGTGGTGAAAAATCAAAGGTCCATATCCCTGGAGGAAAGACTGCACCAATGGCATTGACACCATGCATCAGCATACGCATAAGAATATTTATGCCTAGGGACTGAAAACCGGACCCACTTTTCTGACATTTTTGGACTCCACGGCGCTTGGTCATGTCATCGCATGGTGTTGGGGGGGTGGGGGGGTGGGGTGAGGGTCAAATTCCCCGCAGTGGAGCGTGTAATACATAGTATCCGTGGATTCAACTCACAGTCCAACGAGCGAGTGAGCGAAGGCGATCGAGCGGCTGTTTTCACACGCACATACCTTGAGCCAAATGTTATGGCATGTCAATGCATTGCGTAAGAGCATATCGCAAGATACTGTAACCAAGGGCATGAAGCAATAGCGTAAACGGGAGCCCAAAAACAGAAAACATGCGGGGGGTGTTGTAATTTCGTTCTTGTTTTCACATACGTCTCATGAGCATGAAGGCTCAAGACGTAGCCACGGTGTGTGCTTTAGTTTTGTTGTTTCGGTTGTCGGCTGTTCCTTGTCGTCCTCGTTTTTGTGTTTTCTTCCTTTGTGGTGCGTCAGCCCTTTTTCCTTAGACCAGTACGTAGACGGCTTAACTCGTGATTGTTCTGACCCTTGAGTCTCTTTTGTTCACGAAACAGGTTTGGGTTCAGATCGTGGTTGGGTAAACTGGGAGCAGGTGTTAGAAACTCGTTTTTCGTTGTTCACACTTTGGCGCAATGTGTGGTTGAGGCTTTTCTTTTTCGAAAAACAGAAACTAAGTCCTTTTCTGTTGGTGACTGTTGGTGTTGAGTTGGTGTTCGTTGCGTAGTTGTAGCAGCTCCATGTCGGATGGGTGCGCCGCCGCTGATTTGCTCGACAATGGCATCGATGAGGGGAGAGCTAGTTACACAAAAAACAGGCAACTTGAGGTGTCGCGAAAAGGCCGTTTTTTATTTCGGCAAAACGCATGACAAAGCACTGCGTTTACCAATGAATTTGACATGAGAACCTGCAAAAGAGGGTACGGTTTCCAATCCGTACGGATATTTGTGGATGTGCTGCCTTTGTGCTGTTGGTGGCTTGCGGCACAATCTTATTCATGCAAGCTTTTGTTTTTGACTTTAGAGTAAAAGAACAAAAAACAATCTATACAAGCACGTTGCTGTTCATGTACTTAGTCGTCAAATAGTCCCTTCAACCTCGTTCCACCCATGACAAAACACTGCCCCTTGAATAAAAACAAACCCATGAAAAGGACATCAAAATCCGCCTACTAGGCAACGGCACCATCGCAAGTCCAATCTGAAGGAGAGTGGACTACTACACATGAAGAACTCGTGCAGGCATGATGGACGGGGCTGGGGTTAAGAGATGGACGGTCATGTTAAGTGTTGTTAAGTCATGGCCACCGGCACTCCCAGTTCTCCTTGTTGCATTGTTTGCACTGGTTCGCTTCAGGAGCACACATAAATTTATAGATGTTCCTGACTCTTATTGACCCAGAAAATCTATTCCAAATGTGACACTCTCCGGAGCCTGCGCCGGAACCTGCTTCGGAACTTGCTCCGGAACCTGCTCTCGAATTTGCTCCAGAACCTGGTCCGGAACCTGCCCAAAGTCTGCTCCGAAGTCTTTACTATGGCCGAAGACCCCTAAGCTTCGCTGTTGGCGAAAAAAGGACACTTCAGTTTAAAGGAGAAAACATGTCAACACCCAAGTAAACCCAAAAGACCGAACAAAAACTGTCATGACCCACATGTTCGATACCTTGGAGGTTGTGATCTTGGTTTTCTCTGTTTGTTCTTTTTAGTTTCTTGTTTTTTAGTTATGGTCCTTCACTGACAGAAAAAAACATCTAGAACAACCAGACTGTCAGGACCCTAGTCAGGCAAAAAACAAAATGTCATGACCTACATCTTGGATACCTTGCTGATTTGTCAATTTGTGTTTACTGTTTGTATCTTTCTGGGTTTTTGGCGTTTGTTTCTCCATTTCTCCCGGTCTATGACCCAAACAGTCCAGGTTCCTGCAGGACATATGCTAATATGTTTTTTCATGTTCTTGCCAAGCTCTCTTCGCACCACAAGGCAACTCGTTGCTGTATAAGTACTCTTCTTCTGAAGCGTGTGTTCTCTTGATGTACCCACATCTCCTGAAATTACTGCCACCGCTATTTGCTAGCTAACCCTCATGACTTAACAAATGTGCAATCCTGGGTGACCCCTTCCCACTGTACAAGGTTTCTTCCTTATTCAAGGCCCAACTAATTTGCTGAGACCAGAATTATCTCTAATTTTACAACAATAGTCTGCTGGTCATCATGTAAAAATAACCATTCATCTCTCCGCACGGGCTATTTTCAACCATCCTCTATGAGGTGCACAGGCAGGGACTTCACGTCCTGCTTTACAGCCCCCCTGCAGACCGTTGTGGGCGGGGGGGAACCGGGAAGCTTGAGACGTGCATACGAAAATCACGGTTAGTGAGGCAACCATTCATCTCTCCGCACGGGCTATTTTCAACCATCCTCTATGAGGTGCACAGGCAGGGACTTCACGTCCTGCTTTACAGCCCATCACTCCCATCTCGTCCAAGCGCTTCGGTCTGCAGGAGTGTGCCACACCTCTGCCGGGAGGTGTAAGGCGGAGTAAAGGCGACAAAGTTCGAGAACTCGCGGAAACCAAGAAGCTAGTGTCAACACCAGGTCTCGTGCAGCGGGGTCAATCTTTTTAAGGTGAAGGAGGGCAGTGGTTTCTTGTACGTAAACTTCCGTGACCTTCTGGGAAAGCCACCTACCTTTGCCACGGCAGTGTTCTCCATCTTCCGTACACTGCAAGTGCCATGTGGCACCTCCCGCACGAAGTGAACCAGGGTCTAACGGTTTCAATGAACCGTTCTTCGAAGTGGGCAACCTCAAAGCTGTAAGAACCGCCTGGAATCGTGCCCTTAGTGCTTGACCTGATTGACCCCATAGGCGGCGTCCACCTTCATAGCCACCAAATGCTAGGTCAACCACAGCAAGCAAATCTGGAATGTCGATTTTCCCAGCTTGGTGTTACCTGTGTGACGGGTCTTGGGCTCTTTGATAGCCGGGATGCCAAACTTTATGGTTTGCTCCACATCTCGAGGTAATAGCAGGTCTAGCCTTAATGCATTGAGAAACATCGTCAGGGCGCAGGAGGGCGCCCCACATCAGACACAGAGCTCCGGCGAGAGGTAACCAGCCCCACGTGAGGCTGACCGTTGTCATCGCCAGCAACACTTGCCATGGCATTGCCACGTGGTGCGCAGTAGGTTCTGCTTGCATCCACTGGACCGCTAAGTCCCAGCTTCCTTGCATCCATCTTCTCAACACCGGCTTCTTGGAGGTGAGGTGATTAATGGCTTCAGCATATTGATTATATGGTCGACCAGCTCTGTAGAGTGCGCGTCCAAAAGCTGTCATCACAGAATTGATTTCATCAATGTAATGGCTGTGATCAGCCAACAAGGAATCAAAATCAATACCTTCACTAACCAACCATGCTAAAAACTGTTCCCAATACCGCTCACGGAGCCGACTCGTCCGATCCAGCGTCGGTCTCCCTTCCGGCAGGACCAGCCTCAAAGCTCGTTGAGAAGCTCTTGCCAGATCTGCAGTCGTCACAGGATCCATGGCGTGCGCCCCACTAAGACCCTGGAAAATCACTACAGCGCCCAGCACCCGGCAATGGCCCCAGCGACAGCGAAAGGGAAGCGGAGGTAGAGTGGGAAATGAGAGAGTCGAGCCACGACAGCCGAAGTCCACAGATCGACAAAGCAAGTCCATGAGACAGAGTGGCCGGTACTGACTCAGGACGATGAGCTGCAGAAAGGAGGGAGAAGCACTAGAGAGACCAGTCTGCCAGGCTAGTCACGTAGGGCATCATGAGGACAAGGCGTACCCAGTTGGAGGACCGCTTAGTCAACCTGATGGAAGCAATAGCCCAAAGATCATTGTCATAGACGGCCAATCTGGAGGCCATGAACAGGTGTCCGGAGTGTCCTTTCCCTTGTTGGATCATCTGCACAGTTCAGGCGAGTTGGACAGAACGGAGTGACCAGGTATTGTCCGAAGGCCACCATTGTGGAGGAGATTTGCCTGATGACCGTAGAGAGTGCCAAAGAAGATGACCTCCCTTTGCCCAGCGCACACCGCGTCACATTTGAATCGACAAAACAGACAGTCCTCACGGAGCCAGCTTTTGCTTGCTTCTCAATGAGCTTCTCCACCGACCTCATGTCCAGCAGGTTTATATGAGATGCCCTCTTGAACTTCCAGGAGCTTTCGACAGTCCAGGGTCTAGAGACCATGACCTCGTTCACCAACTGATTCTCCAGACCAGAGACATGAATGGAGTTCGAATCTTCATCTTCAAAGCTCCTTTGGATTGCGTCATAGAAGACCTCCGCCATGGTCCTGGAGAGCTCCTCTGTGTATATTGCAGATGCCTTGGTATAAATACCTGAACTGGGATATGGTTGCATTGCCCTTGGCATCTCCGTTCAAGAGGGGCCATGTCCAAGTTGATACCCAGCAGTGCAAAGGACTTCTGATGTGGGGACCCAAATTGGCAAGAGTCACTCCTGATTTCTGACACCCCAGGAAGCGAAGCAACGGCCTTGTTTGCTGGTAGATGCTTCGTCCTTGCTGTGAACGGCCGCTCA